GCAATAAATTCCATAGATAGTTTCACAGCTTGAAGGGAGTCCTCCATGCTACCAAATATAGCCAAAACAACATTACATCTCACATCCCAAGCTTTCATGTATGAAACTTTGATATTAAACATAGAATTAATTCAACCAATAATCTCACTTGGCTTTGGGTCGATCTATTTTCTAATAGTATATAAAATGAAGTAAATTATAAACTAAGAATTACATTGATGGTGGCCAGACACAAGAATGAGACTTGTGCACATATGTTGATTTTTCACAAATGAATTTGCCATATACCTCCTAAACATTTTCTCAAACCAGCATGCAAATGCCATAAGTGGAGTGCCTAACCCTTCATACTAAGCACATGCCACTATAAATTTCTACTTATTTAATATAACCATAACAAACATAACATTATTTTTAATTGATCATTCTTATTATGTAAACTGTAGGTTAGATTTTCTTGTGAAACACAATATCATATCCATCAACTCTGTTGGGATTGAAAATTCGTCTTCTACTTGTTGTTAATATTGCCATCATCAAAGATTATTTCCTTATCTCGTTTACAAGTTATCAGACATGTTTCAACAAATTCATTTTTTTTTTGTAACCATGCCTTCTTCAGTGCCAACTGTCCTATAACAAGAATTTTGAATGATGTTATGTATCTCATCAGGTACATAAAGTTTCCTTTATTTATATCATATAGTAATTGATCACCAGCATAACATTCTTGGTCACTTTATTCACTACTTTTGGTTTCATATTTGTCATCAACAAGGGATTGTCGACTCGAAGGTCCTGGAGCATCCTGCAAGCATTAATTCTGCAAATCACTACATGAAAAAAAAAATTGTGTTTAGTAAAGGACAAGTAACATATCTAAAAAACTAAATATCATTAAATTCAAATTCAAATTGGGTACTTACTTCGAAGAGGGCTCTTCAATTGATGGGAGCCTTGAAACAATATATACCCTTTCCTCTCGACAAAATAATTTATATACATGGGTGTGAGATTCTCATTATTATTAGTAAATGTAGTTAGTTCTTCAACCTCCAAATACATTATAGAAATTTCTCTAGCAACATGAGATAACACCACTTCGTAGACCTCATCTTCCTAGACATGCCAAGCAATAAACTCATTGATATACGGCAAATGATAAACTAACATCACTCTATACTAGGATGTATCATACTTCGACGATTTCAGGACCCCTAACTTTAGCTACTCTAACTTCACATCACTTGGAGCTTGTATGGATGACTCCTTCCCCCAATATAAATCAATGCAAATTTAGCATCCAAAGATAATTCATTATCATACATTGTCATAAATGAATCTCCTAGTCTAGTCATAGTTGACCAGCTACATTTCACTAACAAATCTTAACAATATGTAATAATAAAGAAAGTCATCTCTCAAATATTCATATATGTCTAACAGAGATATTCTAAATAACTTTGGCACTTCATAAGTGAAGTAGCAAAACGATATAAAATATTAATAACTAATTAAAAGACTTCATGAAAATTCTAACCCTAACACAAAATGGGTACTTCTGGTTTTGATTCAAAATTACTAAATGTGTAACAAATTCCATCAAATTATTAAATTTTTTTATAAAACCGGAACATCAAACAAATAAACCAAAGTGAAATCTTAATACTCAAATCATTTGATGATGAAATAATTTAAAGACCATCACACTAACATGGATGTCTCCTACATTGACTTTCACAAGAAGATGCAAATCTATGAAAAGTCTTTTTTTTTTTTTTAATTCTAAGTTTATTATTTTTATGGTTAACTGCCCAAAAAAATTCACATTTTCCATCAAAACTTTATAACTAACACAAAAAAAAATCAAACATAAAGAATCTAAAAGGATTACAAAAACTACTTCCACATTTTTTTTACTTAAAAATTCTAATTAAATTACTAAAAAAAATTACCAACAAACAAAATCCACTTTCTACCAAATCCATTTACTTCTAGTATCTTTAATGCTACAAATCTATGCACAAAAATAAAAGATAAATTGGGCAACTTACAATTACCAAAAAGAAAGAAATTTTCCTTAAAAGACACCATTAATTTAGACTATTACTTATCAGCCAAATTTTTAAGTCTAAAAAATATGATAAATGTTAGGATCAGAATCACCTCTCAAAACAATACATATAATGAATTAATCTCTCATATTTTAACATGTAGATAGCTATTACATAGACATTTGCTCTACAAAGTCCCAAAACCAACACTACTAAACTTGCATTCTTCAACAAACACAAAAATCCTTTCAAAAAGGTAGAAAAAAATCCTCAACATAAAACAGCTGCATATCTAAGCTATACTACTCAATCAAATTAATATTAACTCAAAAAATAAAAATAAAAAGAGCAAGAGTTTACCTTAGTTCGGATATATTTGCGACGGATCAAGGGACTAACGTACAAAGAAAAAAGAAGGGAGAAATTAAAGACAGGCTCGTAAATAGTGATAAAAATAAATGAAGGTCGCCACGGGGACTCTCGGGTACTTTTTTTTTGGGACATTTAGGCCATTTAAGGCAAACTCACACACACAACACATACACATGGACTCGAACCTTGGACCTCTTAGTTGGAAGCCTAAGCTCTCAACCAATAGGCCAAAGAGAGTTGTGTATGTTAGTTTTCAAAAGTGACATTTTTTTTGGGGACAATAGTGTTATGCCTTTGATTTATTTCCTTAGAAAATAAAAAAAAAATCTTTTATTTCTCCCTATTCATTTATATTTTACTTAACAACATTTGCCAGTTTTTATACCTTTTCATCCTTGTACCCAATGGATAGCTTAAGACCATCTAAATCTCTCTAGTTAATAATCTAAATAATGTCCACGAGAAAGCAAGATCATGCCGAAAATATTAATGTGAGATGATCAGATGGAGGTATAAATAAAAGTGGAGATATAAGGAGGTAAAAAAGAAAAAAAAGAAAAAAAAAAGAATGTTATGTTATGTGCTACTTAATGTTAGGTTGTAATGTAATGCTATTTATGTTCTGATACTATGTTCAACGAAATGCTTATGCTATGAAATATCAGGTACATGTCGTGTACGTCATCTTGTGTCATGATCTCCTAGAAAATTACCATGAGCGGCCACTAATATGTTAGTGGATGGAACATGTCATCGCTGGTTAGGGTAATACCCACCACCAGTGCATTGAATGACATGACACATCTGGATTGACCTTTAAACGTGTTCGGACAGCGCACAAAATAATCCTTCCTAATCTTCATTTAAGCGGTCCGATGACATCCTTCTGCCATATTGTTTTTCCCATCGGAGTGACTCAGCTCTGATAACAACTTGGCATGGTAGCCTTGAAGTTATTGCACACATAGTGGAGAAGAGCAGCCATAAGGAGAAGCAGGAAAACTAATGTATCTGGGAAAATATATGTATTATACTTATCTTTTCCTCTCTCTCTATATATATATCACTTTATACCTTTTATTTATTTATTGTAATTGTCTAATATCTTAGAATGTTTCATAATACTTTTATAACTGAATAAGGATAAAAAACTGAAATTGTGAGTGCTGAAAAAAAAAAATGATAGTAGGTGATAAAATACTCCTTAGCTTATAATGTGCCAAAGCACCCCATGAGAGAACAGCTTAGGATCTATTTGAGAAAATTTCTTGTTGTTTTCTTTATGTTTTAAAGAAATTCCTATGATGAAAAACTGCTTTCTACAATCATAGTAGTAAAATTATTTTTTCCACAACAACTTTATAATCAATTTTATAGAATGCTGCAATCATCCTAAAAAGATTATGGTCCGCTTAGGATGGTTACAATTTTCTATAAAGATGATTGTAACACTATGTGGAGAAAGATGCTTTTCGCAAAGTTGTTGTAAAATGTAGCTTTCCTGTATAAAAATTTATTGAAAGAAATGAAAAAATATTGATCAAACAAAAATTGAAGTTATAGTCTAAAAAATAAAGTAATGAGAAAGATATCCCAAACGAAATTTTAGGCTTTATGAGAGCACTGGCGGATTTGGAGGGAGCAGGAATAGATAAAAATGAGAGAATTTCTAACTAGATTAGTAAACTTATCTCCCTCCTATAGGTTTATCTTTGAGTTCTTAGGAAATATCGGCGTCTAATCAGAGCACAATGCTCCAATCTTTGTTGCTTAGATATATTCCTTCAATCATCATCACTCGATAATAATTTATTGTCACCCGATTATGGCCTATTGATCTTTGTGATCCCATCACAATCTGCTTACTAATATTCTCTAACTGCACTGACACCCACTAACTCCGCCGCTCATTATTATCAATGTTTATATATCTTTTGCATGCAAAGAAAAGGCTGTAAAGTTACAACGTGTATACCATCCTAGCCTCGTGAATAAAAAGGCAGATCGACCAGTCATTAATATTGGTCATGAAAAGGAGTGAATTACATCATAGATTCAATCACTGTGTACTTTTGTGTAAGTGTTTGAATTTCAGTAAAAATAAATATGATTCATGGAATATACTTTTAAATTTGAGGCTGAGCGGATTAGTTAAATATATTTTTATTTGGCTATTTTTTTTTAATATTTTCTCTATATTTTTTAGAAATTTTTATGGTAAAAAATTGATTTCTATAATCATGACAAACCCAGAGTCAGCGGACACGCCGACGTAGTCGGGACACTGGAAGCCACACCGGAATTTTGGATGCGTGATGGATGCGGAACTTTAGACGGGAACCGAACTTGAGCGCATATCGGTGGCTCGAGAGTCAACCCGGGTTGCCGGGTGACCCGAACCCGCCCTAATTTTAGAAACAGATCGGAAAAAAAATTCCAAACTCAACCGGTTCGATAAATGAGTTGACCTAAAAAAAAATGAGTTGGTCTGAAACTAAAATTTTAACTCCCCTATCAATTATGGTGGGATTGTTTGTACTTTTGTTATTATTTTATTGAATTTCTTCCTGTCATTTGACGCTGTGGTCCCACCATGAAACATATGTATTCGTTCAACTGCCCAAAAAACAAAAAATATTTTTTGATGTTTAATCCTATTAATTAAGCACACACACATCACCTCTATAAATTTCAAACAAACTTTCAATCAGCTAACATTAAATCCGACTAATGCAATTTTATTTTTGAGTAGATTTGAAATTACATAGATCGGGCGCTGGGCCAAAAGTACTGAATGCTGACTGCGCCACTTCAAGCGATGTTGAGCGCTGAACTGAGAAGATTAACATAAAGGATATTATTAATAATTATATTCAAGCAAACTGGCTCGGCCGGTCATCTGCCCCGCCTCACAGTTTTGTTATCAAATAGCGCCAGCTCTGATCCGAGGTCCCGCCTTCCTGAACCGCCGCAGTGGCCGCCGCACCAAGCTTCGCCGCCGTCTCCGCCAACTTTTCATCAGCCATGAACTCCCTCACCTTCACCGCAATTTCCTCCGCAGCAACGACTCTTTCTTCGGCCTCCCACGGCCAGTTTTCCGGCCATATTCCCAAGCCACTTCTCGGCACCAACGCCGCAACAACTCTATTATCTGCCCCTCTTGGCCATGCGAGCATCTTCAACCCGGCCACGACCGCCTCCATCACCGAATTCGCCCCAGTGTGGCACAAGATTCCGGCTACCGCACGGTGAACGAGAACAACATCCTGCTCTACCCACCCCCTCACCACCAATCCCCTCTCTTTCACTCTATTCACATATCCTTCTCCCAATAAATCATCAATATCCACCGCCTTCTCCTCTCTGTCCACCTTCGCGGTTTTCACCACCCAGAAAAACCGGCACCCGCTCATCTCCAGCCCAGCCCCCAATTCTCTGATTTGCTCCATCGACAGTACCGCGACGCTTCCGAAGTTCACGTAAATCACTGACTTCTCCGGCTGTTCATCAAGCCACCTTAGCGCTGGCGAGTGGGAAGATGGCTGTTTTATTTCGAGAGGTAAAGGGCCTAAAGCAATCACCGGCGGGAATCCGGGAACGACCTCGCCGGCATTGAACGCAGCGAGCAATTCGGGCTCCAAGGCTAAAAATGTATTAACGATGACACCGTTCGCCAGAGTAAGTGCCCGACCGTTCTCTATGAATTGGGTGGTGAAGAGGTGGTTCGGGTCTCGGAGGGGCGACATGATGGAGGAATATGGAATCTTGAGAACGCCACCGGCGATGTTGACGTCAGTACTGATGGGATGGGGAATGAAGGGGGAAACAGAACAGAGAGCGAGCATGGAAGCAAACGAGACGAAATAGACGAAGCAAGGAATGTTTGCGGCGACAGCCACTGGGAGAAAGGTGGAGGCGATGGTGATGTCTATGATGAGGGATGAGACTGGTGGTGATAATGTAGAGATGAGAGAAGGAAGGAGGTGGGCGGAGCGGCGAATGGCTTCCCATCGGAGCGTGACGGGGTCTGAGGACTCGGGGAAGAGAGAAGGGTCAAATGGGGCGAGAGGGAAGTCAATGAGAAGGGATGATGGGAGGGAGGAGAGGAGGCTGGATTCGGCGGCGGTTATGGTGGGGCGGACGATCAGGAGGGAGATGGAGATGCCGCGGTCGGAAAGTGCTTTGCCAAGGCGGACGATCGGATTGAGGTGGCCCATGCCGGAGCTCGGGATGAGGACGACGTGGGAGAGTTTAGTGTCACCGGAGGACATGGCTGCACAGTTGCTACGACGATAAAAATTTGTGCGCTAAGGCGAAGGAGTGGCACTTAGACTCGCCATCTTAGCTTTAATTTATAACTCGAGGAGCTAAGAAGTCATTTATTTTCAGGACATTCTCATGCAGAAAACTTTGTTTTTTTTTTGACATTTTTTATATGTTATTTTTTAATATAATTATATTATTAAATAATATTATTAAAATATTTGATATAATTAAATAATAATATTTTTTATAATATTTTTTTAATTAATTATTTCATTTATGAATATTTAATAATTATATTTACTAATAATCTGTAGAGAATCATTGGTAATTCCAATTATATGAGGCTTTGAGAATGCTAAGCTGTTGAGCTGTCAACATGTCATCCGGCCCGATAATCCAATCCGAAATCGACCCGAAGTTTTTTGGGTTCGGATCAACCCGTTCGGATCTCCGATGCTGGAGCACGTCGTCCTCGCTTACGTTTCGGTTCCGACGTTCCTTGATCTGTTTGTATCTCGTTTCTATTACCATTTTTTGATATTTTTGAAGATGAAGGTGTTGAGATTTTTTGTTCTTCACTTATTCTCTATTGCTCTTTTAGGATGTTGAGATTTTTAAAAGATGAAGGTGTTCCATGATGTGTTTATACTTTGTATCTCATTTCTATTATCTATTAGGTTATTCTCGGCTAGGGTTTTAAAAATTTTATGATTAATGGTTATTTTGTACGAATATTGTTGACTAGGGTGTTTAAAATGTTGTTTTATTTGTCTCTACTTAGACCGATTTGACCCTTTGCAGATTCAAAAAACATTGAGGCAGTTAGGACATCATATATTTTCCTTTTTTTTTTTTAGTTATTAATTGATTTGGTTTACTTCATATCAGATTGGCAGTGTATGAGACATGATTTGCTGAAAATGTTGTTACTGTGCATACGGCTTAACGGGTCGGGTCAGGTTGACCCGAACCTGAAATGGGTTAGTTTCGGGTTGCGAAAACTGACCCTTTTATAAAAACGGATCGGATTGATTCGAACCCGAAAAATGCCGGGTCAAACTCGAAACTGACATGTAACCCAAAATTGACACCCCTATTAAGCTGTTATATGTAAAAGACCATTGAGCTAATTAAATCAAATTCACACAAATAATATCCAAGCTAATATAATAGCACACAGCTTTTATTGTGACCGGCATATCAACTAAAAGTGAAAGTGCTGAACACAAATTCCTCTGCCCATAATTTTTCCTTAAAAAAAGGAATTTGTGGCCGGTCAACATTTTGGACTCGATCTTTCTTTTAAAGTTTTTTTTTTTTTTTTTTTTTTTTTTTTTTTTTTTTTTTTTTTTTTTTTTTTTTTTTTTTTTTTTTAAGAATAGGGTATCTAGCAGCTGTCACTTTAAAGAGAGTGTTTGACAGCATAATTAATTCCTTGGTAGAACCTAGCGAAGCCACTCACTGGCATCGAGCCCAAACTTGTTTTATCTCGCTGAAGAGGCGAGATCATATAGTAGAAGGGATTCGAACCCGTGATGGGGGGTTCCCAACTGTGTTTGCCCACTAACTATCCTAAGCCTCGGTAGGTATTTATTTTTCAGCCATCAATCATAATTTTATTTTGCTATTATTTTTTTGTTGCTTTTTCACTATTTTTTAGAAATTTTAAATTTTGTAGTAGAATTTTTTTTTAATAATCAGTATAATTATATTAGTTTTCTCATGATAATTTTATAACCAATTTTTATAAAATGTCATAGTATTCTCAAATAGAACCTTAATTCTTTGCTAGAATGCAATGACTAACTATTTGACAAGCTGTTGTGAGTGCCAAAAGGGCTCCTTTTTTGGTTAAAATTTTCACTTTCTTACTTGAGTTGTTTTTAAAGAGATTTTTAGGGTCAGTATGAGGTAAGGGTGTCAATTTCGGGTCACGAGTCGGGTTTGGTTCGAACTCGGAACTGACTCGGGTTCAATCGGGTCGACCTTAACATGTCCTGGGTAGGTAAATGGGTTGGAAACTTGGACTCGGACCCGACGAGTCGGGTTGCTGGGTTGACCCGACCCGACACGGGTGCCCAGGCAAGACGCGGTCGCGCCGGCGGGACTCAGGAGCACAGGCGGGATGACGTCGGGCCCGTAGACAACACGCGGATGTTGGAATAAAATTTTATATTTTAAGACAAGTTAGGATAAAAGAGTTTTTTAGGTGGGGCAAATATATATATATATATATATATATATATATATATATATATATAGATTATTTTATT